GTCCCATTAATATTATAAATAAATATTTTTTTAAAGTATAAATATATCTAAGACAATTTAGTGAAATACTCTATGATTATATTGTGTTTTATTTTTTTGTAAAATTTAAATCTAGTTGAAACTCATCTCTGTTTTTTTTTTATTGCATCCAAGAGTTCTGATTTTGTCTTTTCAAACTGCACCATGAAATTGTGAAAAGTTCTAGATGCGCTTAGTGTTTCCTTACATGTAACTAGTTCTAAATATATAGTATCATCTTCAACTTCATCATCAACATTGTTTTTTCCGATAATATCCACAATTTCTTCTAGAGTTTGGATCTATGAGATTACATGATTACATCCCCAATGAATTTTGCAATGTCGAAACAATTTGCTATTGTGTGTTGCTGAACATGTGTTGTCCAAGCAATGATTGTAAAATTGATAGCATCCAAAACATTAATCTTTGCTAGATCAGTTTGTCCCACTTCATGACCTTCTAATATCCTACGATAAATCTATTACGGTAATACATTTTGAAAGTTCTTATTGTCACAGCATCATAAGGTTGAATTTTGGATGTCATGTTGCGTGACAAGAAAACCAATTCAATATTTTGTAGTCCTTCAATATTTCCATTATTGGCTGGAAAACTCGTCTATCATGCATTTTGTGATCAAACCACTGAATACATTCATCAAAAAGCACATTTGTCATCCATGCTCTTTTGTTAACAATTCAACAAATATGGCACATAAATTAGTAAGATACAATGAAGTTAATGTATTCGTTGTACTTTATATATAATATTTATTTTATGTAGAATTAATAAATATAATACATAAATTAGTAAAATAATATAATCAAAATTAACCTTCATTAAATCTCAAACCATTCTTTAAATTAATAAATATTAATTTATTGATTAAATAATATCTCTATACATAATAAAATTACATTGATCCCACTTAAATTAAGTTACATAAAAAGAAATAAAAATTGTATGGGTGGCCATGGCGCCCTCTTATCTGTTTCAAAACAGATTGAAAACTGTTAATAGCAGCTGATAGTGATGGGATTGAGATGAAGCAGAAATGAGCAACATGGCTATGGCTATGGCTTTGCCTTCTTCAACATCACCATTTCTTTTTTCTTGTACTACTCAAAAGCAAGCTCATAATTTCACCTCATCAAGAAAACCCCTCCATCGCTTTGTTACTCGTTCTACTCTCTCTGATGATCTCTTCCTAGCCGCCAAACACACTGTAAGACTCTTTCTTCTTTGCCCCTTTTTGGGGTTTTGCTAAAAGATTACAACTTTAAAGCTTTTTGGTTTGGTAAGACACTTTCTCGTTTGCCCTTTTTATGATTTTGCTAAAAAAATTACAGCTTTAAAGTTTTTGGTTTGTGTTTGGGTGTTGAATCTTGTGGAATTGTTGAAATGTAGGTGGATTCATATGTGAAGAATGGTATGGTTGTTGGATTAGGTTCAGGTCATGCTTCTACATTGGCTATACAGTATCTAGGTCAGAAACTACGAGCTGGTACTATAAAAGATGTCACTGCCATACCCACGTAAGTTGAATCTATTGATCCTAATAAATAAGGGAAATATGATACCATCGTAGAATCTGATTTGGGCTTGTATGTGTTCTTTGTTGGTAGTTCATAGTGCAGATTAACTTGTTTGTTGAATAGACACACTCCATGTTATGTTGTTTTACTCGTCGTGTTCCCACTTCAACTATAGGGTGTGTTGAGAAATGATTTTACCTTGGAATTATCAATTTCTGGATTCATTAGATAGATAGTTGACACATGAAACAGTACAACGTGGAGGATTGGGCGCGATGATAATGTATTTCCATAATTTGTTACTTGTTAGTTTGTCCATTAGATCTTTATACAGCTTACATATAAGTATCCTGGTTTTACTGTGATGACTGATGAGAAGCCTTGTTATTGAGTTTGTTTGTTTTTCCATTAGGAGTAATCAGGAACACTCTGATGCAGATGTGTTAGCAGTGCAAGTGAAGCAGCAAAGGCAGGAATTCCTTTGGAACAGTATGATGACAGTTTAAAGGTGCGCACCACTACTACGTAGATTCTTATTTAGAAACTTGCATTAGGACTTATTTAAAAATTTGAGCATTTAGTTACATTTTGGACCTCCATATGCATTCAGATTGCATTCATTGAAGCTGAAATGTTTTGTGCAAACATGTATGTGCTTCTTACATAGATTGATCTAGCATTTGATGAAGCTGACATTATGGAAGAAGAAACACTTGCTGCAATTATTGGTCGACGAAAACTGCAGGGAGATGATTCTATAATTAAAGAGAAGGTCTGTCATATATCATGTGATGTATTTGTATTTCTTATCTTGATTTTGTAACATATTATTGTGTGTTTTTAGCTTGAAATTCCTTTTATCTTTTGTTATCTTCATTATCCACTGACTTCTTATGAGGCTGCATTGTCTAATATGGATGCAGACTATTTTAGAAGCAGCTGATCAACTGATATTTATTATAAAGGAAAAACAATTCAAGGGCGGTGTAGAAGGTTCAGTTCCAGTACTAATCAAATCTGTAAGCTCCATACTAAATATACTACTGAATGCTGATGAACAAGTGTAGTTCAGAAAGCGAGAAACTATACTCATTTAGCTTATTCACTTCTCAGGTTAACTGGCTTGAAACAGCTGAAGAAATAGACGACCTCTTCCTCGGTGATGCAGAGGTTAGTCCTAATCATGTATAAAAGTGTGCTCTCTCCTTGCCACACTCCAATATTTGCAAAGGACCAAGATAGGATACATTTCATAATCAGATAGATAACTTTTGTTTTTCTATGCAGGTTTGGAGGAGGCCAGCTATAGGGTATGCAGGTCCTCTTGGAGGTGATTTCCCTTTAGTTACTAAAGAAGGGCACAACATCCTTGATGTCATATTTACATCTCCAATAGAAAGCCTAGGTATATCTCCATCTCTGAATTACTCCTTTACAACTCTCTTGTTGAACTTGTTTGATGCTAACTATCTACCGTCCATTGTTCATATGACAGTTGAAGTGGCTAAAATCCTTGATCAGATTGATGGTGTTGTGGAACATGGTGTTATCTTCAGGAAACCGTTAGTTCTGCAATCACTTAAGTCTAGCGATCTCATCTGTTTCATGTTATTGCTATCGTTATGCTTTTGACACATGAAATGTAAAGTTTGTTTCTACTTTCACTGGATTAATTTCAGGTGCACAGCAATCATTGCCTCAGAAAATGATCTGCAAATCGTCGATAATACATTTCTGATGGAATCAAGCAACTTCTAATGGAGAAAAGATTAGGAATGCAACTTTTGAGTCTTATCACTATCTACTATTTTTCTATTTCAAGTGTTCTGTTACATTTTTAAAGCGGAGGAAGGTTGATATCTTTGAGTTGTATTTTACGTTCATATTATAGGGGTACTTGTTGAAACAATAATATGTTTTTGAATAATTTGATCTCTAAGTAGGAAGAGAATGAAAGTGTGGAGAATTTTCTATTCATACTGACTTGCTTTCATAATGCAAGAATGTAAATGAGTTAACACTTGCTTTCTACCATATTTAAAAAAAAATAAATTATCATCTTATATTACGTCAAATGATATTATATAAATTGAGATAAAAGAATTAATATATAAAAACAAGGGAAAACGGTCTGATATACCCCTCAACTTTGTCATTTAGAGCTGATATACCCCTCGTTATAAAAGTGGCTCATATATGCCCTTGCTGTTATACAAACGACTCATATACCCCTGCCGTTACAAAATGACTCACATATACCCTTCATTTAACGGAAGTTAAAAAATTAGTTTTAAATTTATATTTGTTACTTCTAATTTTTTTAAAAAAATTATTTATGGGTATATATGATTCTTCTATCAAAGTTCAAGGTATATTTTAATTTTTTTCATACATAAATTATTTTTTGACTTCTTTTATTATAATTATTTGAGTTTTTTATTTTTATTTTGTTTTTTTCTTTCACTCCTTAGTTTAAAGAGAGAAAAATTAAACTATTCTTTTTGTGTGTATTGTAATTTAATTTCGTATTCGAATAAAAAATTTGGTCATCTACAATAAGTTTTACAAGAAGATTAGTGAAACATAAATAAATTTGATTATCAAAATAATAATTATAAATTAGTCTTTGAAACTAAAAAAGTAAAAAAAAAATATGTTTTTACGAGGATTAAATTTACTCATATGGGATTATATTTTTTAGAAAAAATTAATAAAAATTTAGATTAAAATTATTATTTTTTTCATTTCCGTTAGAAGAAAAGGGTATATGTGAGTCATTTGTTTACAAGAAGGGGTATATATGAGTCACTTTTATAACGAGGGGTATATCAGCTCTAAATGACAAAGTTGAGAGGTATATCAGACCCTTTTCCCTAAAAACAATGACCTTATGAGGTCATATTTGTCCTCGTACTCTTAAAATAGGTTACATTTCCTCTTAGTTATACCTTTTTGGTTATATTTGACCCAACCATCTTACTATAGGTTTATGCTCTACCCTTTGAGCTGTTAAGTTCTACATCACTCCCATTTTAGTAGACCCTAAATTTGTATTAAAAAATTATGTATGTCGACTTGTATATTCCACGAAATTGATTTAGAATCCCGAAATTTCTAATCTTGGCTCCAGCTCTGGATGGAGCGCAGAGGAATACAAAATGTTTAGTTGTTTCAATTGTGGTAATTAAAGCAAAATGATTATGTTGACGTATCTTTTTTGTAAAAGACAACTTATTCAACTTCATAATGTAATGAATCTGAATGTAACATGATGGATACTAAAGGATTCATATATAGCTTACCAGGTATCGTAGGATTGATAAGAAACATAAGCCTCACTTTTTACTTCTTTGGATAGTGTTTTCTTTAAGGTAATTGTTCTTTCCAGAGTTGGTTTTGGTGCACAGTGCATCTGACTTGCTAATTTTTAGTTGACACCATGTCTTGCTTTCAATATGCAAGAATGTAAAACACTTGCTTTGTACCATTGATTAAAGATCTGGAGATCAAGTTTTTTTCTCCACTTTCATCTAGAAAACAAAAGTATAATATTGGTAACTAGGTACATGATCTGATTTACAGCACAGAAAGGCCAATACAACCAACTAGGAACAAACAATTACTATCATCCTGTTCTAGATATAAAAATCTTACAAATTCGTGCAAGCGGGACTAATCAATCTTGTTTGCTTTGTATCTTTCAAAATGATACTACACAGGGACACGTTTTCCACGGTAGCGGTCAAAGAACTGCAGAGAGAGAAAAAATAATCTCAGACCAAGGAAACAAAACAGGAACCCACAAGAATGCATCATGTTAGGTTCGATTGAGTAACAGTATATTAGAGCAACAGAAGAATTATATAGAACAATTCCATAAGTTTATTATCTAATGCCACTGAAGAGATACTTGTATTTGAGAAAAACTATGATTCAATTTTATAAGTTGGAAGTTCTTATCTTCTTCTGAAATACTTTGTGGAGATATTACAGTGAGGCAGGAAGGTTGCTAACCATGGCAATAGGGGTTTGGATGGAAATTGAGGTTCGTAAAATTGCATCACAGAAGGATTTTCCTTTCTGGGGGATCCGTCTTTAATGCAGTATCTCAATATCTACATACAGATGCATGAGGACCAGAATGTCGGACAATTACTTCATGATAAGGCATCTTGATACTCGATAATTTCTATGATCCCTTCCTAGAGTCAGGCATTTCCAGACTCAAATCACATTATCATCAGATGATATCTAACAACCAAACCGATCTTTTTGGTTCATTTATCAGGGTAGCTATAGAGTGATACATACATGCATTTAAACACAAATACATGACTTGATACTTTATAACATACTCAATGAAGAGGGAGAGCTCCTCTATAGCTTCCCAATATCATACAGGCAAAATATAAAGAGACTGGTCATATTCTGTAAATGTTTAGGGAATGCCATTAGAATAATCATATGGTGGTTTGTGATAAGAGGATAAAAAAATAAAAGAATAATAAGCAACAACTAATTTTAAAGCAATTTTCTAGTGGCTGGGTGAAAAAATGGCAATTTCATTTTGTTCCTTCTATGATCCTTGGTGATTATTGTACAGCCTAGTCATAATATAAGCAAAATACAAGGCACTTAAGACTACTTCCAGATGTTTCTCTGTAAAATCTATGGATTATCTCCTACACCATATATCAGCCATTGGTTCCTTTCTACCACAAGCATATCATTGTCCAACCAATCTATTAAGGTCAGAACGAAAGGACTATACACAATTGAAGTAAGAAAATGCTTTCTAAAAAACTAATGATTCCCCCAAACTTAAAGAAATACAAGAATAAAGTATGAACAATGCAATCAAACATACCGATCTGATATAGGGCTGCTGGAAGATCCAACCTAGAATAGGTATCTTCTGAAGAAAAACTGCCAATGTTGGCCAGAAACCACTGTGCAAAACAGTACATCAGTACCCAAAAACAACTAAAAGATTATTAGGGCAGTCAGGAACCATGTAACTAATTTACCTGAAAAGTACGACAAATCCATATGCCTCAAGAATCATACCCAGTATGGGCCAACCAATTATAACAAAGAAAAAGCCAACACCAAATGATATTGTTCCCTGTGCAAAAAAAGAAACAGAAACAGAAAAGATGTAACACTAAACAAACAATTCTAGAGAGAGCAAGAGGAATTGTTGAGATGAACGGGGAAGAAAAAAAGGCCCAAAAGCAAACTAAACCTTGAAATTACTACGTTTACTAAAGAACTGTAGTGATGACTTGAGACCAATGGTCAGTGCCACCCCTGAGAAGAAGAGGATCTGATTCAGTAAAATAACACTATGTCAAATCCAGGCAGGAGTCATAAAACAAAGGAAAGTGGTAAATGACAGGTCAGAGAAAACTTATGAGATTGTGATGATAATGGCAAGACTTTTTACTTACATTTCCCATGGCAATTAGTCCCTTGTCAAAGAAGAACACGATCCCCAAGAATGAGAAAAACACTCCAAATCCCGTCAATCCTAGCCCTATCTCTGTTACAACAAGCACCCCAAGCTTAGCAGACATAACGTTTCAAATAGCAGCACAACATGCTTCTTTTTTAATCTTACCATCTCATAGCTAGGTATTAAGTCTTAAATGAGGAGAGCAAACATCATTTTGGTAAAACAAATGAAAGAATGCAGACTCTTGCACCCCATAAATAGAAGATTGTTTTGCTCCAGTTGTATGGAACACTAAGCTACAAACCTAAGATGCAATTTCTATAGCAGTTTATGACAATTAGGTCAAACTAGATGTACAATATGAACATGCATCTTCCCGCAAGCAGAAACAGACATGTTCTACATTTCCAAAGCAGTTGACCACAGTTAAATAATAAGAACATACGTCCAATCGACTTACTTTTGCGATCATTCATTTCGAAGGAAAGCATTTTGGCAGCTTCTATTCAACCCAAACACAATTCAAAACCTACAACACAAAAATCCATCATAAATACAATCAGTTCCCAATCATAACCAAAGAATGCAAATACACCGCAACGAGAAACAACACAGAGAAAAACTCAAAAATCAAACAAGTTACTTAGGGTTTCAAAACAGATACAAATGTTTTAATTCAAACAAAGATCTCCACCACTCCTTCCTCAAGCACACAGCAGTTTAAATCAATTTCAACCTAAAAATTGACAAACACACTCATCAATTTAAAAATCTCTTTCATGATTATTTTATCAACAATATACTTAACTTATTCATATCAAGCCAAATCCAAGTTAGATCCACAACTCTGAAGCCATAAGAAGAAGGAAATCCAATTGATTTTGGGAATATTCCCCAAATAACCATATCTTAATCAGGAAACTTCTGCATAGGGTTTTCAACTCGATTCGATCGAAATTCGTACACATATATGCAAAATAAAGTTGATTTTCCATTGAATTAACACGTTACATTACACGATTACGATGAAAAAGCTAGGTCAAAAATGAAGTAACAATTCAGGGTTCATAAATTGTACTAGAGTAGATCATATTGAACTAAGCTTGATTCCTAACAGATTCAACGCCAAAATACATTTGATAAAGCCATCAATTACGATTTTTTACCTGAGAAATTGAGAAACTAAAGCTCCGGTGGTGCCTTTACGAATAGATTATCACGTCAAACTTTGAAGAATTTTTTTTAAAAGATAAAAGGTTGAAGCTTAAAGAAGAATATTACGTAATAATTTTTTTTTATAAATTTTACATTCTTTTATTTATTTATTTTGAAGTATAATAAAATGAAAAGGAAATGTACTATTCCCCTTTAGTCCGTCTAAAAAAAAAGTCATCATCTATTATTCATATCGAAAATAAGTAAGTTGGTAATGATAGATGAAGGGTTATTATCCCACTCCATCGAATCAGATATAGAAACAGATATTTTAGTAAAGTCAATGAGTAATTTGGTTCGTTGATTTTTTAACAATCGACAAAGAGAGAAAAGGTAACTTTTTAATAAGAGTTTTACAATCAAAAACTAAAGAATCAAAGTATTATTATGACATGATGTCGTTTTTCAATAATTTGAAACGACATTTTAACTTATAGGTTTGTTTTAACATATTTTTAAAATAGTATTATGTTCAAATAAAAATATTATTTCACATATTATAAAAAAGAGAAAATACATATTACTCCATTCAATTTAGTATAACTTATATAAATCCTAAGACTTAAATTACATTTTATCCCTACTCTTTTCTATTTCACAAAAATCTCTTCAAAAATCAGTCATTCGGATACATAAGTTTCGTCCGATTATATTAATACATTATGCGACCAGTTTGTTGAGATTAAATATAAAATTAAATTTTAATTCTCCAAATCATGCAAATCAAATACGTGTCAATTTCTCCCAAATAACAACTCCAAACAATTCAATTTTTAAAAAAAAAAATCTCAAATTTTCTCCCTAATCATAACAAATTCATAAAAAGTCGATAATTTTATAAAGTTATGTATCATATACAAAAAACAAAAAAAACTATGAATATAATATAAACTGAAATATTTACAAAATATTCCAAAATACTTAACAACATTTGATACATAACTATGTTATACACATATAATAACTATGAATGTGATACAAGCTGATTTTGTTATAAAACATTAGTGTTTATGCATCAACAATAATATTTGTATCTGACGATACATAACCTTTTACTAGTTGAATAAAGCATTGTGTACGTGTCGGTAGTAAAAGATAACAAATTTTGCAATATTTATGTATCTAATACATAACTATGAACATGATACATATTAATTTGTGTTTCAATAAATTAGTGTTATGCATCAAAATTAATATTTGAAAATAATACATTGTACATGATAAAATTGTAATGTAACATAAAGGTGAACCGAACGAATTATACATTAATTTAAGAATCAAAATCAACTAGATACACTAAAATATCAAAACTCATATGTATCAAAAAAAGATGAACAACAAAAAATAAAAATAAAAATCAACAATTTAATTTGCTGAAAGCCAAAAAAGAATGATCAACAATGGAACTCGACCCAATGCCCTTATCGGAGCCACCAACAACTCGATCTTTTCCTCTCTTTTTGAGCATTTTTTTTCATAATCGATTATGAAATTCAAGATGCATCCTTCTTTAATTAAATTAATAGATGAAAAAGCTAGCATCTATGTGTGTCTTCACCTCATAGGGTGTGTTTGGCACAAAAGAAAATGTATTTTCTTAAAAAATAAATAATTTCTTACTTATAAATTTTAGTGTTTAATAAATAAGCTTTAAATACAATTTACTTTCCTTACTTCTACAAGGAAATCATTTCCCCAATTTTCAAAAATACTTGTTCACTAAAGAAAACATATTTTTCAAACATGAAATAAAATTAATTTTTTTTTTGAATTTTACTTTCCAACGTACTAAACGCACCTTTTAATCTGTTTTTTGTTGGAAAAACATATTTTTCAAACATGAAATAAAATTAATTTTTTTTTTGAATTTTACTTTCCAACGTACTAAACGCACCTTTTAATCTGTTTTTTGTTGGATGCAGTAAAATTCATCATCATCATATATATATATGTGTGTGTGTTGGTGATGTCTATCTTATTTAAACATTTCTTAATGAAAAAATAGAAGGAAAATAGAAGATTTAAATAGAGAAATATCACACCATTAAAGTTACCCAAGATTATTTGTAGAATTTCACTTTTGGTCCAGAGTTATTGATAAATTATGGCTTGCCCCTTATAATATTTAATCAAATATATTTAATTTTTATTTAATTTAAATATATTTTCGATCTCTTTATTTCTATAAAATATGTGATATGTAGACTACAAACTGGCCGGGTCAGCCCACTTTTAAAAAATTATATATTTTTTAATTATTAATTTAAATTATAAATTATAATTTAAAAATATTATCATAGATATCGATAAAATAATATCACATGATGTTAATGTTACTATTTTTTAATCAAATTCACAAATATAATTGTCTTTATAAAATATTTGTTAAGTTAAGTTACCATTTTAAAAAAGAAAAAATTACGCGGATAAGAAAACTTATACTATTTAATTACTCATCACATCTATAGTTTGCTATAATTACCACTCGCGACTAACATTATACATTAATTACGTGGGTTGACTTTAAATTTGTATAATTAGTCATGTTTGTATATGTATAATTCGCCAGGATATACAAATAAATATGTATAATATACAATTTTTTAGTCTATATACATATATATTATTCACCTCTCTCCCACTTTCTGCCCTCTCTCGCTCGCCATCTCGCTCGTCTCTCTCCTCTCTCTCCTAGTCTCACTCGCATCTCTCCTTCCTCTCACAATCTCTCTAACCATATATACAATTACATATGTATATATACAGTTATCTAACCAATATACATATACAATTAACCTTTCTTTCACTCTTTCCCCCCCTCTCTCTCGTCTCTCTCCTCTCTCTCCCAGTCTCGCTCGCCTCTCTCCTCTAAATAACATGTAGCTACAAATTATAATTATCAAATTATAGCTACGGAGAGTAAATTAATTATTTATAAGTGGCTATATGTGAAAGTTTGCCATTAAAAAATTTATTAAGTCTTTTTAAGTATAAATATCTTAGAAATATTAACCTAATTGTTTTGAGTTTGGACTCTCGTTAATTTTATTATATTTTTTAATTAAATTTTATTGACCCACGGGTCAGCCCTACCGATATTTCTCAAGCCCCTCAAATCAACAGGTTATTCAGGCCGGGCTAAAAAACTTTTTTCTTAAATGGACTTCAAAAATCTTAGCCAGCCCTATAAAATTCCGGGTTAGACCAGGCCAGCCCAACAAGCCTAGCCCATATTGACGGCTCTAGTTAGATGTAAATCAAAATTCAAAAATCAAAAGAACCAAATACATTATTTATCACTATTTGATGGATTAACAGTGACATTTCCTAAATTATTACTATGATTTATGATTATCCTCACCGTTATACACTGTACATGAAAAATCTACTTGTTTCGTTTAATTTTATCTGTTATCGTTAGATTTACGTATTCGTCAAGAAAAAAATTATTATTATTATAGGTATTTCATCATACAATTTTTATTAAATGATGGTTAGGATTCTCCCTATCACTTTTTACTGGTTCAATTTTATTTGTCTTTTTTTGACATATTATATCTTTATCTTTTTTGACATATTACACAAATTATTGATATTAAATTATCATCCTTAAAAAATATTGTGAATAAAGATATTTGAGATCTCATTAATAAATAGGGATAAAATGATAAATTTATTATAAGAATAAATATTTTTTTAATTAGTGTGTTAAGTCAAAATTTGAAAAGTAAAAAAGGGAAAGAGGGAGTATTACGTTTCAAGAATGATTTGGCTAATAATATTTACTGTCAAGTATAAAGCATGAAAAAAATAACTGTTTTTCTTGATATGTATATATAAAAAAAAATTATTATAGAAAAAATGACAAGTAAAAGTAAACGAAGAGACTAACTAATTTTTAAGACTAAAATTAGCAAATAACTCCAGTCAAATTGTGCATTTGTAACTAACAATAGTATAATTACCATAAACCAACTATCCTAAATAGGTTTAATCCCAACAACTATTTCAAAAAGACATAAAAAAAAAAGGTGTTACACTAAGTTGGAAATTCCTAATTGCATATTGACGATAAGAGTTTTTTTTAAAAAAAATATAATTAAAAAAAAAGAGAAATCCTTTTGTCCTTCTTATGATAAATTACTTTCGAATCATAACTGTGATTACATCAATATGAATTGTGATGAAATGGTTAAAATTAAATTCTTTACTTTTTATTAGAAATTGAGGTTTGAAACCCAAATATAAAAAAAAGCTTATTAGAGTGTCGTTTCAAAAAAAAAAATTCTACATTATACAAATTTAAAATAATCAAATTCTAATAAAATATCGAACGCTAAATAAAATTGAAGAAAGAAAAAAAATGAAACTGCAATTGCACCTGTTAAAATATTTCCATGTTGAAATAATTCCACTAACACTAATAACGTGGTGCATCTTCACTTTGACAACATTTTAATAATTATTGGTCAGTTTGGATACTAAGTAGAAAATAAAAAAAGTTAAATTAATTAAATCAAACATTATCATTCCTTATACGTGATGAAATATTACTAGGTAAAATTACAGTGTATAATTATTTTATTTTAATATAAGAGAAAATCTTCACGACATACCGAATATTTTGCTATTTAAAAAAAAATTACATTCATTATGCAATAACAATATTTTCCTTCAAATACAAAATAATATCTAATATGCTGTTCATGAACTTATGATATAAATGATTCAAATATTAAAATATAATTATTAAATAGATTTTCTAAATTAATATAATTAATAATTATATCGATTATTTAAGTTCAATAAATATGAATGGAACTAAAATTTAAATTCATTAATTTTGGTTACAACATATGAGTTCACATTGCTAAGCCTAATGTTGAAAAATATCAAGTTAAATGAAGAAGTCAATGAAACCATGTCATGCGTTCAAAATGACAAGTCAGCTTTATTTATGTCCCAATGACATTTAACTAAAATCTGATTGATCGAGAAATATATTTTTAATACATTAGTCTATAACCTTCGAGTCATAAAGTGATAAAATTGACACAAATA